TGCAGCAAACCCCCAGGAAGGCTTCGTCTCGCCGCAACGCCTGGGGGAACCTGTCCTACGCCGACCTCATCACCAAAGCCATCGAGAGCGCACCGGACAAGAGGCTGACCCTGTCCCAGATCTACGACTGGATGGTCAGGTCCATCCCCTACTTTAAGGACAAAGGAGACAGCAACAGCTCGGCTGGATGGAAGGTAAGAAGAGTCTCTCTCGCGCGCGCATGCACGCACGCCTCAGCCCAGCCCAGTCCCCCCTCCTTCCTCCATCAAAACAAAAACAAAAAAAGCATGTGCCTTGTCAACACGCACGCGAGACCACGGAGCACTTTTACGAGGGTCTGGTTCTCATCATGCCCATTAATTCCGTCACAATTCAGTCGATCACTTGTTTTTGTGCACCATTTGCATCTATTGAAATGTGCCACTTGAGTCACAGCCAACGCGAATACTTGTTGAGTGTGTCACTTCAGCAGTCGCTTACCGAGTGTTCACGGAACGTGGTCGGTGATATGACAATGTACTTTGAACACTAGTTATTTGTTACCGTTTTCAACAGTTCCATTTCAGCAAAAAAATACATTTGCATGCATGTTTGTATATTTGGGGAGTAATAAAGCCAAATCTGAAAATTGACCGCAACATATTGAATCGGAATCTCACGGAATGCACACAACTTGTTACGTACTTATATACAATATGTATATAATATGTATTTACGGTGACCAGTCTAGGGCGCATCAGCTGGACTCCTTTCAAGGACGGCGTTTACGACAGTGGACAGCTTATCAGGTTATCATTATTGGTGCATGAGAGGGTTAATGAATGGATGTATATAAGACGTTCATGAAGGACGTACATTCGATCCCATTTTTCTCCTACAAGCACCTATTATTTAAGGCGAGCCTCTTAAAGTGACGTAGCGATCGGCGCACCCTCACTAGCGAGCTGCTATAATGTATCAAGAGTTATTCATGTCACCTTAAATCTATTCACGCGGTTTCAAGCGCTTGTAGAAATCAAGACTGTTTGCCGCGCAAACGTTCGAGACACCTCCCGCTCGGTGGCGTGACGTGAACGGCTCTCCATTCCCAAATGACGCGGCGTAGGTGTCGCGAATGATCCGGCCGTTGGTGACGTGAACGCAACGCAGGGGTCCTTTTGTTTCTCCCGTTGCGAGCCATGTGCATGAGTAGTCCTCCGAGTGCACGGAGAGACAGACAAGAGAGAGAGCCACGTTGCAACCGGTTTATCTGGAAACACGCCTGCCTCGTTATTGTGTGCCCTCCCCGTCAGCTATTCAAGTTAATCCACGAACAATTTAAAAAAAAAAAAAAAAAAAGGTCCTTTCACACAGGCGGAAATGGACTCCCACAAGTGGCAGGAGTCTTTTGTTTTTATATTTAGAACCAGATTGCCGCAACACCATATGATTGTCGCACCAAATGTGTCGCCTTGTTTCGTTATGTAAAACTCGGGCAGGGGAAGCGCTAGTGGAATGATTACATAACGAGTGCGCTGCTGGGACTTTCGGTGAACCTTTTGAGGGGAGAGCTTTGAAAGGCAAGCAACAGGGGCAAGGGTGGGAGCCCCTCCTTCCTCCATCAAAACAAAAACAAAAAAAGCATGTGCCTTGTCAACACGCACGCGAGACCACGGAGCACTTTTACGAGGGTCTGGTTCTCATCATGCCCATTAATTCCGTCACAATTCAGTCGATCACTTGTTTTTGTGCACCATTTGCATCTATTGAAATGTGCCACTTGAGTCACAGCCAACGCGAATACTTGTTGAGTGTGTCACTTCAGCAGTCGCTTACCGAGTGTTCACGGAACGTGGTCGGTGATATGACAATGTACTTTGAACACTAGTTATTTGTTACCGTTTTCAACAGTTCCATTTCAGCAAAAAAATACATTTGCATGCATGTTTGTATATTTGGGGAGTAATAAAGCCAAATCTGAAAATTGACCGCAACATATTGAATCGGAATCTCACGGAATGCACACAACTTGTTACGTACTTATATACAATATGTATATAATATGTATTTACGGTGACCAGTCTAGGGCGCATCAGCTGGACTCCTTTCAAGGACGGCGTTTACGACAGTGGACAGCTTATCAGGTTATCATTATTGGTGCATGAGAGGGTTAATGAATGGATGTATATAAGACGTTCATGAAGGACGTACATTCGATCCCATTTTTCTCCTACAAGCACCTATTATTTAAGGCGAGCCTCTTAAAGTGACGTAGCGATCGGCGCACCCTCACTAGCGAGCTGCTATAATGTATCAAGAGTTATTCATGTCACCTTAAATCTATTCACGCGGTTTCAAGCGCTTGTAGAAATCAAGACTGTTTGCCGCGCAAACGTTCGAGACACCTCCCGCTCGGTGGCGTGACGTGAACGGCTCTCCATTCCCAAATGACGCGGCGTAGGTGTCGCGAATGATCCGGCCGTTGGTGACGTGAACGCTACGCAGGGGTCCTTTTGTTTCTCCCGTTGCGAGCCATGTGCATGAGTAGTCCTCCGAGTGCACGGAGAGACAGACAAGAGAGAGAGCCACGTTGCAACCGGTTTATCTGGAAACACGCCTGCCTCGTTATTGTGTGCCCTCCCCGTCAGCTATTCAAGTTAATCCACGAACAATTTAAAAAAAAAAAAAAAAAAGGTCCTTTCACACAGGCGGAAATGGACTCCCACAAGTGGCAGGAGTCTTTTGTTTTTATATTTAGAACCAGATTGCCGCAACACCATATGATTGTCGCACCAAATGTGTCGCCTTGTTTCGTTATGTAAAACTCGGGCAGGGGAAGCGCTAGTGGAATGATTACATAACGAGTGCGCTGCTGGGACTTTCGGTGAACCTTTTGAGGGGAGAGCTTTGAAAGGCAAGCAACAGGGGCAAGGGTGGGAGGGGGGGGCGGGGATGGGCTAACTCCCTTCCTCCTAAAGACATGTGGGCTGTGCGAAGGAGGCGCAGGGGAGGAGTGACTGACAATTTGGACAAATGAATAATAATCATACCTTGACTTGCAAGTTGGATTTGTTTTTCTGCTAAAGCTCGTAACCCCACGCACTCCTCTGTAGATAGAATCATTTCCTCCACGGAAACAAATTGAAATGCCAAGTGGTTCTCAAAGTTCAAGTACCACCTAAAAATAAGTCCTCTCTAAATTGGTCGACTGGAAGTCAAAATTCCAAAAGAGGGGATTTTGACATTTAGTCGACTTCAAGCTGTAAACGTTGAGGCGGAGTCGCGGAATCGACCTGTCACCTCGTCTGTATGTATGCAGTGTTCTCATTTTGCACGAGTGCATTCAATAAAATGGCTGAAAGTGCATCGGTGACTTTGGCTCTCCTTGCCCACAAGCGAGGGGCATTGCAACAAATATCTTCTAAGTCTGCCTCTTTGACAATTTCCAGCCTTTGAGAGTATGGATTTTCCCCCAGAACTGTTTACTCCCAAAAACCATTGACCCAGAATGGCCCAAAGTTCAAGATGGCCTTGACTTATCAAAACTAAAGCGGCTCCACACCCTTGACCGTTTCAATTAAGGCTTCTCAAGTTTTGCCATGTGATCTGGCAAAAAGTTTGCGTGTCTCTGCCAAGGTCGGGTTTAATATCACCATGCAGGGGCTGTTACTCTTGGAATCTCGGGCATGAGGGCCAGGCTGTGAGGGTCGGGGTGTTAAGCCTGATCGGTCCATAAATCTCAACAGTCTTTTTTTAGTCCTCTTACCAGAAACTCTTCACCGCTTCCAAAACATCAACACATCGTCATTTGCAGCGGCGTACACGCAGACATTTTTATCACCTTTTTTTTTTTTTTGGGTGAGAGGCCCCCCGCGGATGAAGAGGATTGTTTTATGTGTGTGCCTCACATAATGAGCAACGATGAACTTTGTTTCGGCCGGGTAGGCCCAACCCAAAGCCCTAAAACACATTGAGAACGTCTTTGAACTAAATATTGAGTGACTGTTTTACAGAAGCCCCCCACCCTCCACCCCGCCTCCTCACTCTCAAGCAGGGGTCTCAAACTCTAGTCCTCTACGGCCCCTTTCCTGCATGTTTTGGATGTTTCCCTCCTTTGCCACACCCGATTCAAAGAATCAATTCATGAGCGAGCTCATTTGAAGTAAATGTGTTGAAGGAGAGAAACATCAAAAACATGGAGGAGTTTGAGAACCCCACCGGAAAGTTTCACGGCGTACAGTCAGGTTGGAGAGCGCTCGCAGTTTCACGCGGCCAAGGGCACCCTTTTGTTGAGGAGATTTGCTGAGCAAATCCAAGTAATCCCTCTGGGTTTCACTCTCAGGTTCTCACTTACGTCACTTCATATCTCTTATTGGTGAACCATTAACCTCGGCAAAACGAGGTCAAGACAAGCACAAATAAACCGAGGGAATATCTGATCACCTTATGCAACTTCTCCACCGGCTTCTGACGTCGGGTTGCGCGTGTCCTCCTCGCCACTAGTCGGCGCTACACCGTGGCGCTTCCACACATTCGTCTTTGTGCACGTCAGAAAGAAAAAAAATAAAAAAAGAAGGCCTTTCCGTCGCAATCATCTGACATTACGTTAATACTCGCGGTATCGCTTCTTGGTATCTGGGAGTACTTATACTGATATCGGCCTGAAAAAAAGTGGTATCGAACATATCTAGAAACTTGACTGCCATTTCGACCGTTTTGTTATTCTCTCCAGTCTCAGATATGTCGTCTTTCTTTTTCTTTTTTTTTAAGGAGTACAGATCCTAGTTTAGTCTGTGTTTTTCCTCCCCCCTCCCAAGTGGATTTCAGGCCAAGAGGGACAGGTCCAGAGATGTGTGCACAGAGAAGCATCGGGCGTTAGGGGAGGTGGCACTGACCCTCAAAATAGTACTTGTAGACGCGCTTGGAATACCGTGCACGCGTGCGTGCGTGTGTATGTGTGACTTAAATCAGAAGATTAGGGGCATCTGTCTGTTATGTGCAAGCATGTGTGTGTGAGAGAAAGTATTCCTGGCTGCAGTGAACTTTGTGCTCTGGTGCTCCTGAACCCCGCCGCAACTGTCTGCCTCTTCCCGGCGGGTGCCCAACACCAAGTTATGTCACAGCCACACTCCGCACTCCCATAGTAGTGCATGTCTTTTCGATTCAATAATTGAACGCGATGAGGTTCTAACGGTCCTTCAGCCGATAACAGCTG